TCATGTTGTGCATGCTATCGACATTGATTGAGTTTTGATATTTATGATGTATAATGAATACTTATATTCCTTGTATGATTGACTAAGATAAGTCATTACTGTGGTTATTTAAAGCATAAATTATTTAAATAAAGCAACCTTAGTTTTTACGAGAGAATTTTGACTGATTTAGATTGAGTCTCACAGCATTCAACGGTGTGTGTATTCACAGACTTTGCAAAATGACAAATTCAATTGTTTTAAATGGTTTTTAGCGGTTAATATTTGGTATTGTCAAACAACTCACTAAGATAACAAATAACAGTTATGTCATGCAAACACAAGCAATTGAGCTTTGACGCTTTGCCTTCTACATTCTTATACAATGAAGTAAAAATTTTGCATTTGATTTGAATACTGAGGAGAGCATTTTTCCCAAATACTTCAATTATTCTCTTGCATTTATTAAGAATTATTCATTACTGCAGCTTTCTCACATACTGGAAGCCCCTTTTTTCCTTCTATACCAAGACCTTCAAATCTGCCATTTTGATTATTGCGTTTTGGCCAGCTATTTTTTACATTATTTAGTTTTAAATTAATTTAGACCTTCTTACGTACATTCACAATAATGAGGAAGCCTTTGTGAATTACTCTGTTTTAAATTGGGAAACGAATTTGAAGAAAAGAGAGCGGGTTCACCGTCGGAGTCACTGAGTCTACCACATTTGCTGTTAATCAGATGTCGTTGCCCTACCGGCTTTGGTGCTCAATGGAATTTGGTTCAAATGATTTTGTTCATCTCTAAAAACGAACAACCTCAAAACACTTCTAAAATCCTCTTTAAACAAAGTGTACAAGAGGGGATTGACAAGGGAAGTTCCAAATCGCATGAAAAGAAGCAATATATTGACGGCTGGTGGAAAGTGTACCACTATATTCTCGTCCTGGAAAATCGAGCTAAGGAAGTACGAAAACCAACCAAAAATGAAGGCGAGAATCATTGAGGCTAGAATGGTCACGGCACGTTTTTGTCCCCGCTTTTGCCGAGCACCTCTCGAGTTCCGAATATGAGACAATTGTCGTCGAATTTTTCGTAGTTGACCGCGCAGCACCAAGAAAATGCGTCCATAAGCGGCCGCGAGGAGTAATAAGGGAAGAGCGACAAGGCCCACAAAGCAGCTGTAGCTGTAAATAACATCACTGTAAAGTTCATTTGGTGTTTGAGTTGACCCAAGGCTGATCCAAATCAGTTGTATAAGGGAGACAGCTAAAGAGAAGGTCCAAACAAACATCATCAAGGCCCCTATTCGTTGTTTGCTCACGATTCTGTAATATCTCATGGGGTAGATAATCATCACGTATCGTTCAAACGTCACGACGAGAAGATGTAATATTGTCGAGATGGCTATGAACCTGGAGGCCAGATCCATAGCAATACAGAAGCGCAATCCGTCTGAAACGGTGAGATTGCAGGCAAATATCAAAGGAATGGCGACAAGCCCTGAGAGAAGATCAGACAGTGCTAAACAAGCTAAGCATAAGTTTGTCACTGTTTGGAGTTGCTTATTTCTGCTCACCAAAACGATCACTAGAGAATTTACAATGACTATGAGGCATGAAAGAAAGCCTAACAGTATGAGAGGGAGATAATTTTCATTTAACGTTGGCATAACCTGCGTGCTGTTTCTTTCTTGAGTTGCGTTTTCACTTAGGTTGTCGAAGAGAAGTTTAAAAGTCATAGCGTTGTTATCTCTTTGACTATTTGCCCCTGTTTCCTGTGTCTTGAGGCGGTCTTTCCAAACAAAAGCCAGATGTTACCAAACTAATTTAAATTGACTCGACGAAATTCACTCGACGAAAACTTGACCAAAGACAATCACTGGTTTTTCCGTCAGAAGTCGATCAATTATTTCGAGGGATTTGTGTCATTCCTGCTTAAAAGAGTGAGAAAAGAGAGCGAGAGATAAGTAATCAACGTTCTGCTTTGAGGCAGATTTACATAACGTTTCAAATGGCTGACAAAGGTAATTCATTATAACAATCTTACGCCCCCATACACAACAGCAAAATATGTTTTGTGTTAAACGAAGTCGGCGATAAATACTAAATTTTTCATAGGAGTTTAAACATCAGTTTAAGCAACTTCGACGAAAAAAAAACTCTTTCAAACCGTGTTTGGAAAAACTGCTTAAAACGTGTTTTAGATTTGGTGTGAAAGGGGAAAGTAGTACTGCAATTACCACACATTTTACTGCTTTGCAAAATTTGCGATCAATCTGAAATTTCTGGAAATAGACTTCTGCAATCAGAAACTGTTATAGCATAAGCCAGATTAGTCGATATTTGTGAAATCACGTACATGCAAAACTTTTTGCATGTTAATTGTTGAGTGCCGGTAAGTCAATCCAAACAGCGAGGGCAGCTCAAATTAAGTGCAAAAAATATTGAACATGACTTCGGAAGTAAGCAAAATTTCGAGTGCAGTTTGAGAGAAACAGGCATATATTTTTTTTCGAAGACTACAAAATTTGCACTCTCCTCATGGGCTCTAAGGGGCTAGGCCACACTTGAAGCTTGTGCAGCAAGTTCTTCCAGTTTGACCTCTTATGGGCGTCAAATCGCCAATGTCTTCAGTAGAAATAAAAAAGAAGCAGAGCGCTTTGTTGTAAAGCCGACAATCACGAGGTGTTTTGGTCATGTATCGTTGAGAAACGATGAAACGAGGTCATTATGACTCAATATGTAGAAAAGTTTTGCCCCACTTGTTTACTGTGATTGAACGTTATATTCAGCCCCTCCAGGGTAAGAACAAGAATATGGGCTGACTCTCACGCACTTTATCGGCAAATCGATAGTTTTATTTATATTGGCAATCCAGAGAAGACAGCTTCATTTATATAGTAATCCTTGGAAAAATTAATTCCTATGGTCAGTGCATAAAATAAAAAATCATTTACAAGAGAGCCACCTTGGGAGTTCGATGTCGTTGGTAATACGTTGAATCCTGTACGCTTTATAGATAAATGAAAGGGGTAAGTTTCTAAAGAAACTGTGGTGCTGCGTCGGTGGGAGAGTATAGCAGGTAATTTAGTGTTAACAACTGGGTTGAAAACGTAAATTAGCCACCGTAAAGGGTAAAAAAGCTGACGTTTCGAGCGTTAGCCCTTCGTCAGAGCGATAGGGCTAACGCTCGAAACGTCAGCTTTTTTACCCTTTACGGTGGCTAATTAACGTTTTCAACCCAGTTGTTAACACTAAATTACCTGCTTTAAAGATAAAACTGGCCAGACCAGCGAAGAATTCAAACACATCGCTCTTGAAGTGATATACTTCAATAACACTTGCATCCTGTAAAAAACGACCGAGAAAATTTAAACCCTCTCCAGCTGTCAACATCCCAGAATTGAGTGGGATTGTAAGAAACTCGACGGCAGTTACTTCAAACGGCTGTTGGTGCCGCTATTTTCTACGTTCTAAATGCGCATGCGCCAGAGGTGAGTTAGCCTCTCAAAGGTTACACTATGATCGCAGGCTCTTTTTTGAAAGAAATTTGCACGTACGCTATCTTATGTGGAAACCACCAGAAGCAATATATCACCGAAAAGGTTATTAAATGTAGAATTCGAGTAAGTTCTGAGCTATTTGGATATCTCCTCTTCCTAGGCTAAGAAAACCGGTAAACACAAAAATTACCGAATTTCCGTTGAATTGGTCGGTTATCGAACGTGATCTCTGATGATGTCAATCACAAAAGATCAGTCTCTCAAAGATTTTTCCGTATTGCAGTTGGTTTTCCGTTTGAAAAGACTTGTCGAATTAGAATATTAAAAGATTTGCCAACAGGTTACTTTCCGAGGCCGCCACGATGAAAGTGTTTGATTTAAAAAAAGAAAAAGCCGACACTCTTTTGTTTCTCGTTGTTCAGTCAACGTTCTTATCAACTTTCACCGAGTTCCATCAGTTCTTCCAAACATCTCACGCCTTTTCGGGAAATTAAGTCGCACCAGTCATACGCTGTAAGAGGCTTGCAAATGATATAGTTGAACCCCTGACGTTCAAAACAGGTATGGTAGCGCTTCACGGGAAAGTGGTAGTTTTCCGGACACGTTTTACGTAAGTAGCTTCAACGATTACATTCTCGGTCAGCGCTTATGCGTAAAACTAGGAGAAAAACATTTACTCTGAAAATCTTTAAAGGTTGGGAAAACTACGACACCTTTTCGATTTCCGCATGATAACTTAAGTTTGGACTAGAAAATTTATATGTTTTGCGCTTTTTTCCTTGGCTTAGCTCTGGTTTAGAACTAAGGGCTGGGCTTTTTCTCCTTTTGAATGTTTCATGATGAGAAATTGGCCCAACTGCTTTCTAAAAAGACAGCACTCAAATGCGAGTTTAAAAAAGGTTCAGTTGAATGAGTAATCTTCCGATGACGATGTTTGCCGCCGAACGGGTCGCAAAGGAACTCGAGTTCACGCCTGACGGAGATTATAACACCTTGATAGTTAATTAACTTTTATACAAAATACTTCTCTACCTCGATAACTCACGCGCGATTTTATCTCGATGTTTTCGGAAAATGTGAGTTTAATTTATCAACTCTAATTGACTGGCCTAGGTTAAGTTGACTGGCCTAGGTTAAGAGTAAATGTTGTGATACCCAAAAATTATTTGTGTTAGAGGTTATTACAGTGAGTTTTCCCAAATATCATTCTCGGTCATCTGATCCGAATAAGTATTAAAATAACTTGAGTAGAATTTGGAATAAATCGCGTGAGAAGACTTTTTAAAAGACTTATAAAACATTAGAATAATTCTCTGGCGAAGAAAACTGATTTTGGTATGCTCATTAATTCCAAATTTCCCTCGAGAATATATGTTAACTTATTAATAATGGACAAGCAGTGTACTCTACAATTTTCTCCCGCCGAAGCAACACAATTTGCAAAACCCCAAAGATTATTTGGAAGAGAGATTATTAATCCTTTCAAAATTAAAGTTGTACCGCTGATAAAAAAAATGGGAAAAAAAAGGAAGACAATTTTTCTAGGAACTGAGAAACGTTTAAGTTTTGTAATCGTTCAAAGTTATCTTGAGAGTGGTCGCTCATCGCAAAATGACCACTCAAATAATAAACTAGGGTCCAATTTACTCAGCAGAATATGAAGATTAAAAAAAGTTCAAAAAAAGATTACCTGTATCCTCGCAGCTTATTACAGGGTAAAATATATAGCATCGACGAAAGTTTCTTGAGAAGTGTTCGAACAGGCGTCGATAAATTTTGATTTAGGATCAACGCTCAGCTTTGGTAATACTTCCATTCAAATGACCCCAAAAACGCCAATTTATGACGCGAGTGCGATTATTTGTAAAACAAATGTAACACTATTGGTGAGAAACCGATCGTTCATTGAACCGGTAAACTCAAAGAAAGTTGAAACATTCTGTAAACCGATAGAAAGTACGGCCTATTGCTTTCATAGAAAATGTAAATAAGTGAAACATTCCTAATGAAATAAAACAGTTGATTAAATCATATCTGTCCTCAGAAAGGTAACGGAGATATACTGTTTTAACCAGACAAATACAAAGAATAATTATTGCAATTGTTTATCCCACTATTACGCCTTCTCGGCAATGGAAAGCGCAAAATATGCCACGGTATTACGCTGTAGAACAGAGAAAATACAGACAGAAGGTGGAGCAAAATAACGGCTGCACTTAACGATCCAAACTTTTATGTTGCTTTCAGTTTTTAGGCATAACTTTTTCGCCAACGAACTATAAAGTCCATAAGATCTTTTGCGGTCATCAAGAACACTTAAACGTTTTCAGCTTATGAGATCGATACAGTGCTCAAATAAGGGCGTACTAAGTTTCGAAAACTAACAGCCAAAATTCTAGTCCATGAAAAAAATATATGGAATATTTAATCAATTATTCGATTATTTAACATAATGAGAGATTTCGTTGAAACTCGCGTTTTTTTTGTTTACCTAATTAGCAGGTTGGGTGCGTGCTACACTTTTCGCAATTTGAATTTTGCATGCGTTTTAGACAAGGTCGTTTAGTTCTTTTCCACGATAATAAGCAAGTCAAACTGGTAAAGTACTTTCTGAAATATGTTTCAACAGTTGAATTTCACGTCTTTGAACAATGTCTTCGAACGTTATTTTGGCAGTTCAGTTCTGACTCACCAGCGTTAACGTCGTTCGGTTTAATTGTTCATCAAACAGTCTCAGAATTTAGGGTGTGAAAATCCCAATCAATATTCTTACTGATTCTGACAATATTTTTGTTTTTAGATAAATTCTTATCACGATTATGGTATGCAACAGACAGCAAGTCCCCAGGAATAACTGATTTAACCTTAAAAATTTTAGCAACTCCATCTAAAAGATTCTGATGAAAAATCAACTAATTTGACACTTGCGCTGAAACAACCTCCTTGACACTGTCTTGGGTCTGTCTAACTTTTCATGTGTTTCTAATACGAAATAATTGAAAATAATTTTAGTTTATTTTGGCGCTTTAAACAGTAACAAATAAAACTAGTTGAAGTAAAAAAAAAGTACCTCCACGCACTTCCATAATAACATACAAATATGTAACTAGCAACAAATTTTATTTAAAAATCAGGATCTAAATCCTTTCTACTCGGCGATAGAGGCCTGGTTCATAATAAAGCAAGTTTAACTGCGGACATTGAAGCTTTCCTGTCATAGCTTCGTCGAATTTCTACAAAAACACTCACTTTCATTGCAATCGTGCTTAAAATGGAGGAATCCAACTAGTGACGAAAAACATTTAGTTCATTCGCCATGCGCTTGATCAGGCAAATCTTAATTTTCATCACTCGCTGACGATACAGATTTTGAGAATTATACTTGATAAATAATGAAAGTTGCAAAACTGCTATGAAAACCATTATGAATTTCTGCCCTGATAACTTAAGAGTAAATGTCAATAAAAATCACAGATTATCGTAAAAGTCGCGGACACGGTCAAAAATCGATTTGG